TGAAGCTAACCCAGAAAAAGTGAAGGCAGTACTGGATATGCAACCACCATCTAACACAAAGGAAATCCAATGTTTAATAGGAAAAATAGCTGCCCTGAGTCGTTTTGTGTCCAGGTCGAGCGATAAGTGTCAACTTTTCTTTCAAATCTTAAAGAAGCATTTCAATGGGATACCCGGTGTGAAGAAACATTCAAGGCCTTGAAGGACTATCCGAGCTCCCCTTGTTCTAGTAAGCCCCTTGGAAGGGGAAGTACTCACTCTCCACCTAGCTATCTCAGATTTCTCGACCAGTGCAACACTAGTAAGAGAATGAGACATAGCTCAACAACTAGTCTATTATTGTAGTAGAGCTCTGTGGGGGGGGGGGGGTAGAGGACAGATATCCAAAGATGGAGAAGCTTGTCTTAGCTTTGGCCATAAACGCTGTAAGACTTAGGCCTTACTTCCAGGCTCATACTATTAAGGTCCCAACAGATCAGTCGTTGAAGCAAGTACTGCATAAACCAGAATCCTCAAGGAGGTTGGTTAAGTTGGCCACAAAGCTCTGCGAGTTTGATACCAGATACAAATCGAGAACCACAATCAAGGGACAAATTATGGCAGATTTCATCGCAGAATTCACGACCGTGGCACCTATGGAAGTAACCTAGCTGGTCCCTGACCTCCCCACATGGAAGCTTTTAGTAGATGGAGCTACCAATGCTCAAGGAAGCAGTGCTGGCTTATTTTTGACCTCCCCATAGGGAATAGAAGTCAAGTATGCCCTCAAGTTCGGGTTCAAGGCCTCAAACAACGAAGCAGAGTATGAGGCTGTCATTGTTGGATTCAATCTAGCTCACTCAATAGAGGCAGAACAGCTCAAGATCTGCATCGATTCCCAGCTCATGGTCAAACAGATAGAGGATTCTTATGAGGCCAAAGGCAAAAAATGGTCTTTTACCTCAAAAAGGTGCAGGAATTGATCAAGAAATTTGTGAAAGTTAAAATCAGGCATATTCCCAGAATCAAAAATTCACAAGCAGACGCTTTAGCAAGGCTGGCGACAGCCTCGTAAGAAAGCCTGGATAGGCTAATACTAGTAGAACACCTAGCAGAACCTTCTGTAAGTATTGAGGATGAAGAAATACTTCCTATATTGGACCCCCCCGAGCTGGATGGACCCCATCAGAGGATATCTCTAGAATGGAACCTTACTAGAAGACCCGAAGGAAACTGCAACGCTAAGAATAAGGTCAGCTAGATTCTCTATCCTACAAGGGAACTTGTATAAGCGAGGCTTTTCAGCACCTCTCCTTAAAATGCATAGGAGAGAAAGACGCTAACTACGTACTCCGGGAAATCCACAAAGGAGTCTGGGGAAACCACATCGGAGCTCGGCCCCTGGCAAGAAAAGCATTGAGGTAGGGGTACTATTGGCCCACAATGCTCAAGGATGCCACTAACCTGGTCAAAAGGTGTAAGGTTTGCCAGGTACATGCCAATATCCCTCACTATCTACTAGAACTCTTAACCTCGGTGGTGAGCCTTTGGCCTTTCTAGCAATGGGGTCTGGACATACAAGGACCCCTTCCTACCAGTGTTTGCTATCGTTGGGGTAGATTACTTCACCAAATGGGTAGAAGTTGAACCTTTGGCAACGATCACTAAACAAAAGGTCCAAAGCTTCACATGGACAATAATTTACAGGTTTGGGATCCCCAGAGCTATCGTCTTTGACAATGGAAAGTAATTCGACAACCCTAAGTTCAAAAAATTATGTGTTGAGCTAGGGATAAAGAATTACTTTTCAGCCCGGCCCATCCTCAATCCAACGGACAAGCGGAGGTCACCATCAGAACCATAATAGGAGCCCTGAAGACCAAGCTGGAGGCTCTAAAAGATAAATGAATAGAACACCCCCCAGAAGTACTGTGTGCTTATAGAACTACTATCAGATCAGTAACTCAGGAAACACCATTTGTTTTGACTTTTGGAATCGAAGTAGTGGCGTCTGTAGAAGTTAGAACCCCATCTCCCAGGGTTGAACTCACAGAGCCATAGCACAACGATGAGTTAGTTCTATTAAATCTCGATCTCTTGGACGAAAAGAGAGACAAAGCTCTGTAGCGTATAAAGAATTACCAAAGGAAGATATCAAGATACTACCATATAAGGGTGAAACGCAGGAGTTTTAAAGTCAGAGACCTAGTACTTAGAAAGCTCCTACTTGAAAGAAAGGACCCCTCTTATGAAAAATTGGGTCCTAAATGGGAAGGCCTTTACATCGTATCAAGCATAGTCAGACCTGGGAATTACGAGTTACAAATAGAAGAAGGAAAAATCCTATCTCATTCTTCAGCTCATAAAATTAAGATGAGCCCCTCAACTCATAAAATAAATATGAGCTCTTCGGCTCATAAAACAAAGATGAGCTCTTCAGCTCATAAAATTAAGATAAGCCCCTCAGCTCATAAAATTAAGATGAGTTATTTGGCTTATAAAATTAAGATGAGATCTTTAGCTCATAAACAAACGATGAGCTCTTCAGCTCATAAACAAACGATGAGCTCTTCAGCGCATAAATAAACAATGAGTTCTTCAGCTCATAAAAAGAAGATGAGCTCCTCAGCTCATAAAATTAAGATGAGTTATTTAGCTCATAAAACTAAGAGGAGCTATTTAGCTCATAAAGTTAATACGAGCTCTTTAGCTCGCAACTAGAGTGAAGGAGCCATTCAGTAAATCAGAAATAAACTCTACAGCTCATAATCACTGCTAGTAGTTGTGGAAAATAGATTTTGCTCATCAAATGTAATATAGAGAAGTGTCAAAAAGAACTAACAAAGAGTCCTACAGCCCTTCAAATTTCCTCTTCAGTGCGGTAACTTCCTCCTCCGACAAAGCATTTACAACTCGTAGGCGAGCATTCTCCTCCTTCAGCTCATCTCTCTTTTTTTTCGTACCTGAAAGCATGTTCAGGAGTTTTTCCCTACCAAAAGAAAACAAAACCGCTCCAAAGGAAGATCCAGACGAAGGAGAAGAGGAACCAACAGAAGAATCGCTCCTCCTTTGCTTTCTTAAAGATACACCAACAACCTCGTCTTCATCTGACAAGGAATAGGAGTTAGGAGAATCTGGAATGGAAGCAAAGTCCAGAGCAGCCATTACAGCGCTGAATAAGAAGAGGTTCTTAGATGTCACAAGCTCTAAAAAGGGCATAGGCTCATGGTGGATCACCTGTTCAACCCCCATTATCTCCACCGAAGTCAAGTCAGGTGCACCTGCACAGCAGGAGCATGGTGAGAATAAGTCATAATAGAGTTTAGCCAAAAAGAATGTTCTTGGGACACCTAAATGTATAGGAAAAACTTCCCAGGATTGAGGAACCCTATTCTCTGTGCAGCGCACCTTGGTGGACCTTCAAGAATCTCTGGATGCAAAGAAGAAATGCTAAGACCACCCTATAGGAAGGGAGGGAAGGTCAAGGACTAGAGGACGCACGCAAAAATGCCTCCACCGAAAGTTGCTGAATCAGGGGACTTCATTCTCCTCGAGCTCATAAAAATAAAGAAACTTAGCAACAGTGGGGAACTCATTAACCTAAAGGCACCAGAAGAGGAAGAAGCTAACCATAACAACCCATCCTCTAGGAAAAATATGAAAAGGGCACAAGCCATAGCAAGCTAGGACCCATCTGATGGAAGGATGAATGGGAATACGAAAGCCCATCTCTAGGGCACTTTCAAAGAAACAAACTTTCCCTCAAAGAAGGAAATTGCAAGGCTTGTCGGAGGTAGGGACTCGTAGAGATAAGTCCGTAGGCTGACAAAATTGTTTTTTGATTTATTCCAATCCTGAAGAGATGAGCACGGAAGGAGCTAAGTAACGGGATTGCCATCTCGCATCAATCCCAGTGGAAGCATGTTGTTTGAATAGAGAAGAAAGGGGGGCAACCATTAGAAACTCAGAAGAAAGGAAAGGCAAGGAACGAGAAGTCTCTAAGATTCAAGAAAAGACTCCAAGATTTGCAGGTAATGAAAAAAGTCCAAGAAATTATGGAAACTTCACCAAAAACCCCGAGTTTGAAGGAACCAAGAAATGCATGAAAAACAAAGTCGACCGTCCCTTAAGTTTCCAAATTATGATGGGACTTACATTTGTAGAAAGTGGGTAGGCATGTGCAATAAAGGGAGAACAGGTATTCGACTCTGCCAACTCGACTCTGCTAGTTCCAAGAGCCAAGGTGATTTCAGGAAGACCTCCAAACATAATCCACACAGTCCTATATGGGCGCAAGCTCAAACTAAGAGAATCCTTAGCCCTACCTAAGCGGAGCTTAGTCATAACCTTCCTTTCCACATAAGTGAGCTTCTTTAAGTTATAACTCTTGTGCTCCTTTGGAGGCCTCTCAGATTTCTTTGGTTTGGGGTTAGCTCATATGACTGCATGGATCTTCTGGTGCATCTCCTCAAGGGCATCTGCCTCAATAGTTATGCCTAAAATGGGACAGTTATTTCTTAGGCTTGTCTTTCGTTAAAAGTTCTCATGTATGTCGCACTTTCACCTCCATGGATACTTCTGAAATGGACATCAACATCGAGTTGCTTACTCTCTTTGCCAAATCCAGCAAACCTCTTGTCACTGTAAGGAATGTTAAGTCCACCATCCAATGCTCCCTTAAGGGCACCAAACAACAAGGACAATCTCTCAGAGGTGAAATCTCAACTATCTGACAAGCTCTTTAGCTCTCCAGTTCGTTAAAAGTTCTGGGCATATCTACTTCAAGGAGAACTGAAGCACTCCTTCAAGCAAGGGGGCAAGGGGAATACAAAGCAAAGCAAAAAGCACAACAACATAATAACTCATAGGAAGTAGAATGTATTTGCATCAGTAACTTAGAAAAGCAGCAGGAATGTACATTCCCCAGTAGAAGTTTAAAAAAAATTCCTAAGTCTGTGTAGAAGGAGCTAAAGAAGGGTTCAGTAGTTCAGTAACTGAAGTCTCAGCAACAAGAAAAGAGCCTGGTAGCTCAGTAGTAGAAGTTTCAAAGGTTTTGAAGAAGGGAGCTTGGCAGTTGTAGGGACAAAGGCAGTTTTTGAGGTAAGAGCTGCTGGAATGACTAAAGAAGAAGGAGAATTTGCAGCCAAGACCTCAGCAGGTGGTTTAGGTATCGTAGCACCACCAAGAGTAAGTTCAGGAGTAGAAGGGGTCAAAGCACCATCTGGACCCTCTGCATTGGTCTCCTCCACCTCCTCTTGGGCTGGGATCTCAAAGTCAAAGTTTAGGTCGGGTTATGCTTCTTCAGGTCGATCTTGGAAAGAAAACCATCTGGTGGCCCACTTGTTAGTAACATCATCCATCATCTTGACAACTAAGGCATCTTTCTCTTTGACGATGGCTCTCTGCACCTCAAGCTCACTTCAAAGAGCGTCACTCGCCTCAGCCAAGACAACGTAATCCCTTTTCATGCTCCTGTAAGAACTTAAAGCTTCAAATGTCTCTTAGTTGGCCTTCGATTAGGCATCAATCTTAAGCCTAAGCTCCTCCTTGATCTTCTCCTCATTTGCCTCCAAACCTTTGATGGTAGAAGTTTGCCTTTCCATCTGCGCCTATAAGNTGGGACAGTTATTTCTTAGGCTTGTCTTTCGTTAAAAGTTCTCATGTATGTCGCACTTTCACCTCCATGGATACTTCTGAAATGGACATCAACATCGAGTTGCTTACTCTCTTTGCCAAATCCAGCAAACCTCTTGTCACTGTAAGGAATGTTAAGTCCACCATCCAATGCTCCCTTAAGGGCACCAAACAACAAGGACAATCTCTCAGAGGTGAAATCTCAACTATCTGACAAGCTCTTTAGCTCTCCAGTTCGTTAAAAGTTCTGGGCATATCTACTTCAAGGAGAACTGAAGCACTCCTTCAAGCAAGGGGGCAAGGGGAATACAAAGCAAAGCAAAAAGCACAACAACATAATAACTCATAGGAAGTAGAATGTATTTGCATCAGTAACTTAGAAAAGCAGCAGGAATGTACATTCCCCAGTAGAAGTTTAAAAAAAATTCCTAAGTCTGTGTAGAAGGAGCTAAAGAAGGGTTCAGTAGTTCAGTAACTGAAGTCTCAGCAACAAGAAAAGAGCCTGGTAGCTCAGTAGTAGAAGTTTCAAAGGTTTTGAAGAAGGGAGCTTGGCAGTTGTAGGGACAAAGGCAGTTTTTGAGGTAAGAGCTGCTGGAATGACTAAAGAAGAAGGAGAATTTGCAGCCAAGACCTCAGCAGGTGGTTTAGGTATCGTAGCACCACCAAGAGTAAGTTCAGGAGTAGAAGGGGTCAAAGCACCATCTGGACCCTCTGCATTGGTCTCCTCCACCTCCTCTTGGGCTGGGATCTCAAAGTCAAAGTTTAGGTCGGGTTATGCTTCTTCAGGTCGATCTTGGAAAGAAAACCATCTGGTGGCCCACTTGTTAGTAACATCATCCATCATCTTGACAACTAAGGCATCTTTCTCTTTGACGATGGCTCTCTGCACCTCAAGCTCACTTCAAAGAGCGTCACTCGCCTCAGCCAAGACAACGTAATCCCTTTTCATGCTCCTGTAAGAACTTAAAGCTTCAAATGTCTCTTAGTTGGCCTTCGATTAGGCATCAATCTTAAGCCTAAGCTCCTCCTTGATCTTCTCCTCATTTGCCTCCAAACCTTTGATGGTAGAAGTTTGCCTTTCCATCTGCGCCTATAAGTCTTGAATCTGAGTTTGAAGGTTATTGTTAGCAAAAGTCAGTTCGATGGCCTTAAGCTCAAACGCCTTCGACACTTTGGCAGAGCTTTCCAGGGGTTGGACTCGACTCAACAAACCCTTCACTTGAATGGCCATCTGGGAGCAGATACAACCAAGAGCTAAAGTCAACATAAAATGGCAGCACAAGGTAAAAATATAACCTAAAAAGGATGGGGACTTACAACAGTAGTTACATGTAATGCTGAGCTAATGGAGGTCTCAAGGGGCATGGTGGTAGCCCGTTGAACGTTAGAAATAGGAATGATGGAGTCAAGGGCACTAGCAGCGAGCTCAGCATTGTTGAGAAAATAACCTTCGCCTTTCTTCGCCTTAGGATGCTTCCCTTTCTTAACGTTGGGGTTCATTTGAAGTAGCTGAGAAAGCTTCTCAGATGGCCCATAAGAGGTAGAAACAGGAAGAACACGAGAGACCAGCTCCAAGGCTCTCTTGACCTCAACCGAAAAGGGAGAGGTCAGACCATGCTCAGGAACCTCTCTGAAAACAAGTAGTGTCCCCTGGAGAGAAGATGTCTCCACAACTTGTGGATAAATTGATGGCCGAATAAGCGCCACTTGAGTTTAAGTAGGAGAAGTAGGGGGCATCCCCAACCTCGATACCTTGGCATGAGGAACGAAGTCGCTACTAGAGCTAGCCTTGGTCTTGCGTTTGTCCCCACTCCAGCTCTTCTTCAATAGAGCAACCTTAACCTGAAGTGCTTCCTAGGAAGGCTCCATGAAGAAGAACCTGGAAACACAAAATGGGCAAATTAGATATGAAAAAAAAGGGGAAAGAAAAATGCCAAAAATGGGCGAAAGGAAAGTATTACCTGCCACCTGCTCAGTGCTAGCAACAGCAATGGGAATGGGGGTCTCGATTCTCACCTTGGAAGGGCTGAACCCGAGCGCTATAAGAACCTGAGGCTTGATGAGCTTAGAGTATCTCTCTGAATCGCAATCCTCTAAGTTCAGAAAAACCTGCTTATCCACAGCGTTGAGTTTAGTGCGAATACCTGAGGAGCAAAACAAAACAAGTGAAGCAAGGTCAGTAGAGTAAGTCTTCAAAATTGATCCTAACTTGCTTAGGCATGGGCTTACCCAAGTTGTTAGGGGCAGACCAGGCCCGAGGAACTGGAAGAGTATTTGTTGCATCCGCAGAATTATATTCTCATTGTCTTCCCCCCACAAAGAAAAAAAAGTTTTTTCCAATCCTTGTGGGAGCTCAGGAGATCAGAGATGATAACCTTGGTTTTCACCCATTTAGAAATGTACAAAAAAGTCGTCAAAAGGAGTGTGTTTAACATTGAAAAACTTCATGAGCAAAGGAATTGTGGGAACTCCGAGTTCATTTTTCTTGAAGAAAACAAGGAGAGCCACCAGTACACTCCAGAAGTTAGGAGAAAGTTGAGCATGAAAAACGTTAAAGTGTTGTAAGACAGTTTTAATAAAAGGGTGAATTGGAAAGCGCAGGCCATTCTCAAACGCGGCCATGAAAAAGTAGACTTTCTTAGGAATTGGGGAGTCATATCGGGTATATACATTTACGCTCCAGTACTACACACCCAGAGGAAAACCAAAATGAGCAGCTAGAACCTTCAAGTAAGAAGGAAAGACCTTACTAGAACCCATGAGCTCTGCAACTCTAGAGACAGCCTACACCCTCAACACTACTAGAGATCCCTACACCAGCTACCCTGCCTTTACCTTTATTAGGGTTTTTGGGTACAAGGGAGGACGACGAGGGAGGCTTCTCAGTATTTTTCTTAACATCAACAGAATCGACGCCTGAGAAATTATCAATCTTCTCGCCTACGTCTCCCAAATTAGTATCTTCCTCGACAGACCTATCCCCCATAAGAGAAATAGACGAACTCGTGCCTTCAGAAGAAACAGACATAACTAGGCAAGGGAAAGGAAATTTAAAAGACATGTAAAGAGGGGGAACCTCTGAAAAACATTCTCTAAGGGTCAAAGGGGCAAGACACCAGCAACAGATGACAAAGATCCTAACTACAAAATAAAGGTCAAGAAAAAGGAGAATGGGATACAAGGTAGAGCCTCGATTCCTAAAATAGCAAAAATGAAAGGTCTAAAAGTGCAGCAACCACCTCGAATTTGAGGGATCCAGAGCGAATGAACAAACAAGAGCTGAGAAACATACCTAGTCAGGAACAAGCAATGAACCAGAGCCCAAAGTATGAAATCGAAAGAGTGAGCTTTGCGAAGCCTTCGAATTAAACCATGGAAAGTCGACTCATCAATTAAAATATAAATACACAAATGAATTGAGGAGCCAGGTTCACAAGGAAGAGAGAGGGAGAATCTAAAAAGGGAAGTTGAATAGGGAAATGAGGCATTTTTTATCACCATAAGGGTATTTAAAGCTTGAAGCTCGTGGGACAAAATGTGCACAAAAAAGGAGGAAAAAATGATTACTGAAAACTGTCAAAAAATACCCTCAATGCGTAAATCTAAGTCACTGTGCAGAGGGCAAACTTGACCTCAGCACAGCTCAGCCCCTGTCCAAGCCACCTTGGACCAAAGACTAGAGGGCAACTGATGATACCCATAAGAAATCCTAGCTAAGTATGAGATCGGGAAGTGAGATCAGACAAGGAGGTCAGATGAGATATCCAGAGCTCAGCAGCCCAGACCTCGAGCTCCCCTCAGAAGAAGCAATAAGGAAATTGAGAAGGAAATAGTTGGATGATAGAGGGCATCCCCGAAGCAATAGAAGGTTATAATCAAGGGATAAAATTCTCAACTAACCAAGATCTTCTCCCAAAATCAAGGAGATTCTGCTGATGGAAGGCAAAGATCTTGTTGAAGATCCCACAAAGATAGGAATTAGACTATAAATATCAGACAGTGCCTCCGACTCAAAAAGAACACTCTTAGTTGTATAAAAGAAACACTCTGTAAATCATTTAAGATCATAATGATAGATCCAAAGAGCAAGAGACTCCATTAAAGAGTGAATTAACTGAACTCCTGAGCTGGTGAACTACTATAATTTCACTGTGAAAATCCTCCCAATTTCCCAAGAATTTTTACTATAATCCTCTTGAACCTAGCAGCCCTGATCTAGCCTTACCTGTATGATCCATCAGTTCTGTTCACCCGCATAATCAAACGCCATCAAAAATAATTTTAAGAACTTTGGTTGAAGCAAAATGTTGAATTGAGGCGTTTCAGGATGGGTTGTAGTGTAATGGGGTCCCGAATTCATTAGGGGCAAAAGGATCTTTTTTCACCTTTGCCCCTCCACTATAAATACAGCCCCTTAGTGTAAAAAATATCATTCTTTGGTCTGGAGGAAGAGCAGAACACGTTCATAGGGAGAAAGTGAAGAAAAATCCTAGGTTCTCCAAATTTCAAGTCACCAAAACACACTCCTAGGCCAAGATTCTTTCTAGACTTCCTTCTAAGAAGTTGTTCCTCTCAACAAGGGCTATATTCTCACTAATCGGTTTGGCTGCACAGCGAACATAACTCCCTTGGT